TGTGATTCTGTGATTGTGGTGAGCATACCTGAAGGGACTGAAAATACATTATTTTGTGCTTATACCAGTCATCGTTTTTTGTTTTAAGTAAGTTCTTGAACTCTGGTATAATGAAAACTGTCTATTCCTTAATGCAGAAGTTCTTAACTTTAGGTCTGTGAACATTATTTTAAAAAAGTATTTTGATAAGTGTTTCACTACAGTTGGTTTTCTTTGTACTTGTATACATTTTATTTTAGACATTTAAGAACATTATTCTGAGAGGAGGTTTATGTTTCACTAGACTGCCAAAGGGGTTTATGACACAAAAAAGGTTAAGAACCCTTAGCTTCAGTGGGACCTGGCCAGTATTCAGAAGCCGTTTAAGGCTCACAAATTACCAAGAAGCAAGAAACTACCAGCTCAGGAAAAAAAAAAAAAGTAAAGTTCCACATTGGTTTCCCGACTTTTTAACATGTACTGCTTTAGGCACTGAAAATCTTTTCCTTCCCTGTCCATGCTAATTTCCTTGACATTCACTTCAGAAATGGTGCCACATACCCTTATATTAATGCTGTGTAAGAGGCTAATCAAAGGTGGGTGTAAAGAAGAGTAATTTCCAGCTCTTCTCTGCATCCTATGCTAATAATGTTGTTTGAACATATTCCAGGAAGACTATTGATGCCAGAGCCGATTCAGAATTAGGCAGGTGGATGTTTTCAACCACTGTTAATAATAATATCACCACTAAAATCTCCCCCACGTTCTGCCAGCTGTGTTGAACCTGCTGTTTCCTCTGGCTACCTCCTGCATATCATCCTGGTACAGAAGTTTTCCCTAGGCTTTCTATTTGCTTGAAGGAATTTTTGGAATGAGGGAGCTGGACAGAGCTAGTGGTGATGTAAGTGGGCATCATGGGAGTAAGACGTAAAGGAAGGGTGAAATGCCTAAACAACTTTTTTTCTTCAACATTGAGATCTACTAACAACTGATTTCTAAATAATTGACATCTAATTCTTTGATTGAATCCATTCAAATGTGTCTTTTGTTTTCACTCTCATATCTCAGTAAGCACAGTCTTGATTTTACTTTCAAAGTAATTTTAAGTAAATAGCTTTGCTTAGAGGAGGGAAGATAAACTGTATTATGTGTATAGTTTATATACATATATATGTATGTGGGCATATACATACATATATCTGTATAAGTGATAACTTATTACAATTTAAATTATGAAATAATATGTTCTATCTATCATCTATCTCTAATGGTCAAAACCAGTGAATTCATCAGTAGAAGGAACTCCAAGAATGGAAATTATCTCCATTAATGCAAATTGGCATCACATCTATAACTTTAATTCTTTTAGAGGCACTGAGAGGTTAATTGAATTCCTCACAATTACATAGCTTGGTAAGTGATGGTAGTAGTGGTTATGATGATGATGGATCCCAACAGGCTCTGAAGTCACAGGACCTGGGTTCTAACCACTGACATTTCCTGTGTAACCTTGGGTAAGTCACTTAACTTTCCTGGGCCTTAGTTTCCTCATCAGTTAAATAATGAAATTAGATTTAATGGCCTCCAACTCTTGGTCTAATGGTACTTTCCTATTTGATCTTTAAGTATCAAGCTTCTTTGTGGAGAATTATATTAAAAAAGAAACCTTTAATTCTTTATTTCTTAATCCTTTATTCTTCTTTAAATTATCATTACCATATTTTGGTAAGGATGATGTTTAAAAAATAATTCAGGTTTGTGTGTGCTAGTTTAGTCTTGGTTCTCCTCCCTGGAAAATCAGAATATAAAGAAAAAGCATAGTCCTGAAAACAAAGGAAAAACAATATGAGGGTTTCCTAAGTTTGAATTGTAAAGTTTCAAGTTGTTTGAACTTATAATAAAAACAACTCTATGAACACACAATAAGGTACATTCCATTCTAGCCAAAATAATTTCTTTTTTAAAAAACCCTAATATCTTAGTACTTAAGCATTTAGCTGTCATCTTTAACTAGTTATTAATGTAAGAAAGTCAGTGTTGTGTAGTGGATAGAGAGCCAGCAACATCTGAGCTAAATAAAGTCTTTCATCTGACACATCCTCCCTATGTGACTATTAGTAAGTGTCTTCCTCTTCTCAGTGGTCTGGGAAACTGAACTATGCTTGTAGGAGATGCCTTTCCTAGAAGTTCCCCACTCCAGTGAAAATAACAGGTCTGATTCCTACCCCTATCCTTTCCCCATTAATGTGTTTGTGTTTGACTGTAGCACCTCCATTTTTAAGTGTATCACTGATGATCCCATGAAATATGGTAATGCACTCTTGAGGGATGAACAAGCTCATTGATTTGTTAGTTCCTTGGAATCATTTTCCTTTTGGTTGAAAGCACTAGTCTTTAAAACTCTAATCACAGCCTCAACTGTAATTTTCTTAGAAGTGCTTAAGGATGACAGAGCTATTGAACTTTTGCCTTTGCTTGTGCATAAAATTAGGCTTTCTAAGGTTTGAGTAACTTAGCTTCTTGAAAGTTTGCCATTAAAACTCAGCCTGAGGTGTATTTCTTCTCTTTCACCTGAATGATACCCCAAACTCAGGGTGTTCCATAGCTGAGTACTATTTTAACTACTTTTTCAGATGCATTATGCTATGATAAGACTATAGAGATATGTATGGTAGACGTTCCACAAAGTCCAAAGACATGAATTCCAATTCTAGCCATGCCATTTATTAGTAATATGACTATGGGTAATTCATTTCTATCTGAGACTCAGTTTTCTCATCTGTCAAATGAAGGCTATACAGACCTTAGTGATCCCCAACCCTAACTTTCTGTGACAAATCAGAAATACCTTAGGTGTCTCTAAATCCTTTTTTTTCCCTAACATATAAACATCATCATGTCACTTAAAAGAAAAAATAATTAGTAAAATATCTTCCATAGCCATCAAATGAAATGTGTTAGTGGCAAGCAACCTAGGTTTTTTAACTCAGAAAGATAATTTTTAGTAACTTAGTTTGGATAGCATTACATAAATAGATTAGTTAGGTAAAATTGTCTTTTTTTATATTGACTTTACCTACCCATGAACAACAAATATTACTTCAGTCATTTAGATCTGACTTTATTTGTATAAAAAGTACTTTATGTTTATGTTCGTATAGTTTCTGTGACTGTGTTGGCAGGAATACTCTCAGGTATTTTATACTGTCAAGTTATGTTAAGTGGTCTAAAACGATATTGAATAATATTGCTGACACAGTGTAGTTTTCCCTTTTTTTCCTCTTTTGATTAAATCTGTTTTAGTTTTGACTTTGTCTGAGATCATGATTTCTACCCCTTTTTTATATAATAAATTCTATTCCTGTCCTTTATTTTATCTTTGTGTGTATCTCTCATTTTTATTGTGTTTCTTGAAAGCTAAATATTGTTGGATTCAAATTTTTAGTCTGCTGTCCCTTTCTGTTTTATGGATAAATTCATCCCATTGACATTCTAAGCTATAATTACTTGTGTATTTTCCTCCTTCCTATTTTTCCTCACTCTCCTTCTCACCCTATTTAACCTATCCCTTCTCCCTCCTCTACTTTACTTAACGTGATACCTTGCCCTCCTATTCCCCATTGCTTTATTCCTCAGCTTACCCATTCCTCTAAGAATCCCTCCCTAAACTTCTCTCTTCCCACCCTATCCTCTTGCCCTCTTATTTCTTTCTGAATTTGCAAGACTTTTATACCCTTCTAGATATATATATTGTTCCCTCTTTAACCCATTCTCAATGAGAGTAAGGTTCTAGCACTACCTGTCCTCCCTCCTACTAGCTTCTTCACTATGTTTTTTTTTCTTTTATGCCTCATTTGTATTAGATAATTACTCCTTTTTATCTTTCCCTACAGTTTTACTATTTTTTAGGATCACCCCATCATACTCTGCTCAGCCCAAGCCTTTCTTTCAAACTATCCAAATAACGAGTCATAAAAGTACTGACAATATTTTCACATATAAGAAGTAAACACTTTGACCTTATTGAGTCCCTTATAATTGGTCTTTAATGTTTATTTTATTTTTCTCCTAGATGTAATATGTCAAATTTCCCCTTAAGTTCTGCTGTTTTTGTCACAAATATCTGAAAGTCTTTCAGTTTATTAAATGTCCTTTTTTTTCTATTCAGGATTATCCTTAACTTTGCTGGATAAATTACCATTGGTCACAACCCTAGCTCTCTTGCTCTATGAAATATAGTATTCCAAGACATACTGTCCTTCAACAAAGTAGTTGCTAAGTTTTGGGTATTCCTTAATGTACCTCCATGGTATTTTAAGTGTTTTTTTTTTCTTTTTATTTCCAATATTTTCTCCTTAACCTGGGACCTTTGAAACTTGGCTATGATATTCCTGTAAGTTTTTCCCCAGGATCTCTTTCAGGTAGCAATTGGTGGATTTTTTTCTGTTTCTGATTTACCTTCTTGTTCTAGAACATCAGGGCAATTTTCCTTGATAATTTCTTATAATATTATAACAAGATTCTTTTTTTAAAAATCATACTTTTCAGGTAGTCTGACTCTCCTTATATTATTTCTCCTCAATCTATTCTCCAGATCAATTGTTTTTTTCTGATGAGATGTTTCGGATTTTCTTCTTTTTTTTTTTCTTTTGATTTTGTTTAATTATTTCCTGGTGCCTTAGAACATCATTAACTTCCCCTTGCCTAATTCTAGATTTTAAGGAATTATTTTCTTCCTTAAGTTTTTGATTCTCTATTTTAAGTTGGTTGACTTTCTTTTCATAATTTTCTTGATTTTTTTGGATTGCCCTTATTTTTTTTCTAATTTTTCCTTAATCTCTCTTATTTGATTTTGAAAGTCCTTTTCAAGTTCTTCAAGATCTCTTTTTTTTGTGCTTGGGACCATTTGTGTGTCTCATTGAAAAAGGAGTGGTTTTTTTTAGCTCCATTATCTTCCTCTGAATATGAACTCAGATCTTCTCTATCCCATAGTAGTTATCGAGGGTTAAGTTCTTTCTCCTAAAAATATGGAATGCTTCAAGAATTTGTATCATCTTTGCGGAGGGGCCATGCTAATCTTCTCTTTATCATTCCAATTGTAGTATATGTGTAGCCAAAGCGAGCACCAGATATTCTTAAACTTTTTTTTTTTTTTTGGTACCATGGACTCTTTGGGAATCTGGTACAGACCCCTTCTCAGAAAGGTTTTAAATGCATAAAATAAAATACTTGAGATTACAAAGGAAACCAATTCTATTGAAATATAGTTACCAGAATGTTTTCTTTTAAGTTCATGTGTTCTAGGTTAAGAATCCCTGTGCTAACTTAAAATTGATCTGTGTGCCTCAGTTTCTACAGCAGAGAATAATATTTGTGGTATTCTTTGGAGGATATCATAAAGAGAGAGACAACATAGACAAATGCCTTTGTTAGATAAAAGGAGAGTACAAAATATAATTAGTGCTTTCTATTCCACTAACTGAATTCAACCTATTATCCCAATCCGTATTCAACTGACATCCAAATTGAACAAAATACTCCTTAATCTTTTTTGTACTAGTTCTCCATGTTAATTGGGTGGCACTGTTTTGGGTAAATTCTTATTGCTGTTTACATCTCAGTATATGGGCAATGTTGCCTGAAATAGGACTGACTGCCACAAGTTTCTCTAAATTATATAGAAATATATTCTTCCTAGTTGTGGTAAGTGGACTCAATAACCAGGTGTGTTTCAATGAAAATTGGTTATTTAGCAGGTAAGGAAATTTGGTCTCTTTCTAATGGATTTTTCTTTTAAAGTACTGTAATATTTTTAATCAAAGAGAAATTATGATGGTGGCATTATTTTATTTTTTTAATTCCAATTAATATCCTTTGATTTTCCACATGAATTTGGTTTGACCATCATTGGTCTGATGACTTCTGTAACCAGAGATCTTTTTTTTTTCTCAAGGACCAGACACATCAAGTAACAAGGAAATATATTTGATTATAAATATTATTTCTTTTGTCTATGCAAATGCACTTCAAATACAAATAATTATGAGGAGATATTGTAATTTTACTCTGAAATAAACATTTTCATCCTACTATCTCTATTTTTTTTGTCTTATGGTAAAAAACAAATCCACTGCACCAATCGACACACCTTAGACCTTCAAAGTATTGTTAAATTGTGGTCTTCCTGGTGCTAAAGGTTGTTAGATTTTTACGACATTAGATATTCTGTGATGCTTTTCCTGTTAGGGATTTCAAAGATATGAATCGTGATTGTTACTATTTGAAAAGATTACTGTAAAACATTGGCAATGATATGTGATTCTTCCTAATAATTAGAGGTGTTCACATAGAAAGGGATGTTAGGTAAGCATGATCAGTGTTAATCAAAGAAAAGAAAACAGTGGGTAAAAAAAAAGAAAAAAACTCCAAATATTTCATCTGATCTTTCTTCTTTTTCTATATTTTTTCTACAGCCAAGTTAGGATAGGGTTGGACCTATGATTTCATTGATATAGGAAACTTTTTGAGGAAATTCCTTCAACCAATGCAGGCTAACACTTTCTCTTTAATATGTATTCTTACAAAGTTGACTAGAACACAGAGGAGTTAAGTGATTTACATTTTGTCACACAGATTGTCTGTGTCAGGGGAAAGGAGTTGCACTCAGGTCTTCCTGGCTCTAAGCCAATTCAGATTTTTTAAAGGAGCTTTTTAAATCTTGTGTCTAGGTTGGCATGTCTAATTTGTGTTTACTTAGGACACTGACTTTACCCCAGCAGATGGTCAAGGTCTGAAAATCTAACCTAATTCTAGCTAATAGTTAATGTTGAGATAAATAATTCATTATCACATTAGCATGGCAGTCCCTCCAAAGTTTACCAGCTGTTCAGCCTCTGAAAAACTACTTTAGTACATGCCTGACACACAATTATATTTGCAGCTCTAGCTCAAGGGCTTATGACAACTGAGATGCTTTTTTCCCTACTGTTGTTGGTCTTATTACTCACCAGGTAGCAACACTTACATCATTATAGTATCTCACTGTGTCCCATTACATTTACAGCTTCACACTCCAGACACAGTCCCCCATTATGGAAACATTTCTCTCATCATAACTGGGTCCATAAGTGTCAGGGCTTAGTTTATTTCACTCTGCCTGCCATATGCTCATCCATTTAATTTTTGACAGCACTATTTGTTAAGATTATAAAGATCATGATTTGTAATAGGATTGAATGTGATTGGGTCCCTGCTTAAAGAACAATGAGAAGAACGTGTTTGTACTCGTCTTCATCATGCTCTAGTATAATGAGAATCAGTATCCCCTTCCTGGGTAATATGTTCTTATGAAATAGCTTAAACATTACACTAGTGTATTTTCAAAAATAAACATGGATTCTGTCTACCCTCCCACTCTACTGGATCCTAAAATACCCTGCTATATTAATCTGTAGCTGTCCCTTGTGTCTCAGCCCTTAGTAATTTGCCCACTCATTAAAGATGCTTATAAAACATTCCAATTATACATTTAAATCACTAGAGCATCTACCATTTGGTCCCTTGCATGTGGATTTGCTCTTTTGGTAGAGAAATAAATCATTTGCTCTCTATTTATAGTTTAAAGAGAGTGGTTATTTAATAATTGTTTTAAAGAGAGTGGTTATTTAATAATTGTTTTAGTTTTGGAATAAGGGAAGGTAAAAAAGAATAAGCTCTTAATACTTTCCAATATTACTTTAATTTTCCAAATCTTGTACAGAAGTCTGCCTACTTTCAGAAAAGGATTCTTATTCTTTCCAAGTGTCCTGTTCTTTTGCAAATGCATTTTAACAGAACCTTTTTTCAGACTTGAGGTAGGTGGGTAAAATACATCTATATCTGTATATGTAAGTAGATAGATAGATAGTGTATGTATACACACACACACATGTACCTTAATACAACATTTTTAACAGAAAAAATGCTTTAGGAATAAGTGGCTGAATGGTTAGGGAGCCAGCTTGTGGTATACAATATATTTTATTTTCAGAGCCATCATTTCCTTTTACAAAAAATTGCCTTGGGAGATTTTGAAGGATGCTTGCGTCTCCATTGTCATATCTAGCAGTAAGCTCTAGGCAATAAGGTAGACAAACTGATGCCAAAAGGAAAGATCACACCATTTTGGCTGATTCCATCTGTCGGGAGCGTAGGTGGGTGGTGAGTGGGTCCCTGCATATGCTAAAACTGAAACCATTGAGGTGTATAGATTGATGGGAATGGGCATAGAGGGGAAGGTCAACTGGGGCCAGTTTTTTTGAGTAGCTAGGGGAGTTAAGGATATTTACTAATAGATTATCTCTGTAGGAGAGTGTGATTACAGCAGGTTAGAGGATGCAGTTAGAAATACTTGAAGCAGGAAATAGAGCAAGTAAGATCTAAAGGACTTTATTGGACTTATTTCTACCTGCTACCAGATGGAGGTCAGCTGTAGGCAACTTCAGGTGCCAGCAACACTGTGTGGGATAGCCCATTCCCAGAGTATAATGGGCAGCATATATATACAATAATACCCAAGATACCATAATCAGTCGATCAATCAACAAACATTTATTAAGCACCAGTTATGTGCCAGTGATATGTTAGATGCTGGGGATACAAAGACAGTTAAATAGTTCTCGCCTAAACAGTTTACATTCTGATGGGGGAAGACAAGCTACGTATGTGTAGGTATATACATACGTACATGGATATGTACATATGTACAAAATGGACACAAAATAGAGTCAAAATAACCTTGGCAGGGACAGCACTAGCAGCTAGTTGGGAGGAGAGGACCAAGAAGAGAATGGAAAAATCCCATGTAGAAGGTTTCATTTGAACTGAGTTTTGAAGAAAATCAGAGATTCCAGGAAGCATAAGTGGGATGAGAAAACATTCCACACATGGGGGCAGCAGCCAGAGCAAAGACACACAATCAGGAGATGGAGTGTCATGTGTGAGGAAAGCACGAAGTCCAACATGGTTGGGCATAATGCGAACGAGGCTGGAAAAATAGGTTGGAACCAGATCGTGAAGAGCTTTGAAGGACAAACAGGTTTTGTATTTGATTCTGGAGGTGATAGTGAACCACGGGAGTTTACTGAGTAGGGGAATGACCTGCACTTAAGGAAAATCACTTGATGGTTATATGGAAGATGAACTGGGGGAGCAGCAGCCTTGAGGCAGGGAGACCAATTTGAACGCTACACCAAGAGTCTGGGCAAGAGGTGATGGAGCCTGTTTTAGGCCCTCAAAATTATGCAGACTTTAGTACAGTGCTCAGTTCTGTATTGGGTACATCGAAGAAAAACTCTTCCCTAACTGATGCAGAGTGATGACTGGGATTAAGATTTGGAATCCCATTTCATTCAACAACTCATTTAGATAAGCATTTATTAAGTGCATTATGTGTCAATCACTGTTCTAGGTGCTGGGATAAAAATGAGCAGTCAGTCCCCTCATGTAGCTTACATTCTACTAGATGAAGCATCATATTTAATGTAAAGTAAATACAAAATTCGTATAAATGGATTAGCCTAATATGTCAAGAGGTCTAGGTGACTTTTTCTTTTCAAATGCTCATTAGGATGCTCAAGGAATATCAACTGGTACCATAATCTGTAAATGCTATCATTGACCAGTCGAGGGAGTCTATGAATTTTTGAACCAACTGGTTGGTTTATAGGTTATGGCTTATTGTGAGGGGCCTTAGTGTTGGTGACCTCATTGAGTGTGAGGTATGAAGGAGTGAGAAGGGCATCTAGAATTTGACTGTGACTTCTTTGATAGGCCACTAGGTGGCGCAGCGGATAGAGGCAGGGTAATGTGTAATTGTTTTTTCAGTGATGCCTGAACCTGTTTGGGGTTTTCTTGACACAGATCCTGAAGTAGTTTTCCATTTCCTTCTCCAGCTCATTTTACAAATGAGGAAACTGAGGCAAACAAGGTTAAGTGACTTGCCCAGGGTCACACAGCTATTAAGTGTCTCTGAGGCTGGATTTGAATGTAGGAAGATGAGTTCTTGACTCCAGGCCTGGCATTCTATCCACTGTGCCTCCTAGCTGCCCTGGAGTCAGGAAGGCCTAAGTTCACATTCGGCCTCAGA